GTTAAAGACTTTAGCTCAAAAAGGTCAAGGTCTCCTACTGCATCCTGGACCATCCCCAGTCGTTTTGATCTATATCTCACCACTCCACTCAAATGGCTCCAGAAGAGAAAGTGAGGCTGGTGAATCTCCACAGCTCTCTCTCACCCAAATCCAATTCACCCCCAAGTCAAGGCATCACCCTCCTGATGCCATGGTCCTCCCCAAGAATGAAGGACAAACAAACAACAACAACCTAAAGTGGCATAACAGAATCTGCAAGAGCTTTCATTCCATTTGGATGACTTTTTAGAGTCCAAGGTCCACTGTGTGCCATTGAAATTCACACAAGATTATGTGGGAGAATTAGGTACATACATATCAAATATTTGGGATGATTTTACGTACCATATTCAAGGAGATAATTCCTCATTATTTTATTTATCCCCATATCAATATACCAATAGCACATACAAATGACTATTACTCGTGTTGAGAATTTGGATGTTTCTTTTCATGTCAGATTGATTGGACATAACTATTATATCTATAGATCAATATAGAGCTGGTTCAGGCCCCATGAGGATACAAAATGAAATTATGGATATAAAGTTTGGATCAAGTTGGGACCAGGGAAAGAGTTAGTGAAGATCATTCTGATCATTATCAGTGGAGGCAGAATTAAAACAGCTATTGTCATTTCAATATACTACAGACCATTTGAACAGAAGAAAGAAAGAGATGATAAAATAAGGAAACAGAAAGACTAAAATTTAGGATGATTTGTGGCTGGTGATAATTGCTAAAGATAATTTTTTGAGGGGGAAGTTAAGGTATATTTGGAATAAAAAAGGATCAAGGAAGGGGATATGGGCACAGTTTGGAGTCCATAAAACAATGATAATGGGTAGCTATTCCAAACCAATTGTATTTCCATATTCTCATAGAGAAAAAAAATATTTAAACAGAAAATATTAGAACAACAACAACAAAAGGCTGCCTTGCTGGGGGGCGGGGGGGGGGGGGGGGGGGGGGGGTGGGAAGGACTCAATCCAACTGAATCTCTCAATGGCAGCTAAATTCAACAATTCTAAAACCTGTCCCTAAAATTAGTCCTCAAGATTAAAGAATCTTTGGAATAAGCCCCAGAAGCCACCAAGTCTATCCCTTTGCATGGACTTCTATATTTCTATTCTCTCAGGCTCTCCAGTTAAAACCCTGGAGTCATTTTTGATTCTTCCTTTATCCCCAAAGTCCAATCAGTCGTGACTGATCATCAAGCCTCATCTGTACAGTTCTAACTGTCTGATGGCCTCAGCCTAATCCTTGCTTAGATTTCTGTTCTAGCTCTTGGCACCTGGCTTTGCATTTTGGACTCTGATTTCCTTAACTTTCAGTCTCCTGAATTTTCATCTCATTCTTCTAGACTGAGTCTTTTTGATCTGATTGAAGAGAGTTAACACTGCATCTTCTGGTTTTAACCCTACCTTTGTTATTATTACTTACTCTGGCCTCCAACTTGTGGGTCTTGCTTTCTCTGGCAATGACTTGTCTTTACCTAAGATTTCATTCTCCAATCTGCATACTAGATCTGACCTTAGTTTTGACAGCTATGGTTAAAAAAGAGATCAGTGAAGTAAGGATCCTTATAGCTTTGAGGGAGATCTGGCTATTGAAAGAATTTTTTAAAAGTTGACATTAGGGGCAGCTAGGTGACGCAGTGAATAGAGCTCTGGCCTTGGAGTCAGGAGGACCTGAGTTCAAATCCAGCCTCAGACACTTAACACTTACTAGCTGAGTGACCCTGGGCAAGTCACTTAACCCCGATCACCTCACCATAAAGCAAGAAAAAACAAAACAAAACAAAACATAAAAGTTGACATTAAAGATAACTTGTTTAGTGAGATCTCTTAAATACTCTTCATATATATATAAAATAGGAAAACAAATAGGAATACTATTCTTTCATGAAATAAACATGTACAAAACAGAATTCAATTCAATAATTAATTAAACACTATGTGCAAAACACTATACAAGGCAATGGGAAGAAAAGGATAATTATGAAGCGATCACTGCCTGCTACAAGCTTACAATAAAGTACTGACGATGAAAGATACACACATTTGCAATATAATTCAAACATTCATTAGGATCTTATGTGAAAGACAGTAAATATAAAATTACTGCACAGAACAGAAATATAATAGAAGTTGAAGAGTTAATATTAAAATACAAAGTACTATTAAGAGTTTGAGGAAGGAAAGATAATTTCTGATTGGGTTAGCTTAAGATTCCATTGAGGAGATGATATCTGAGCTGGGCCTTGGTTTCAAGGGTCATTAGAATTAAAAAAAAAAAAAAAAAACAGATGGCACAAGGAAAATTATCTCTGGTATAGTCAATTAATGGGGTCAGCAAAGGTACAAATAGAAAACACAAGTGTGCTGTGGGTGAAGAGTAGTCAGGTTCAGCTACAGCATTAGAGTATGTTGAGGGCAAGTAAATGAGACACAATTGGTAACACAGGGAAGCACCAACATACAAAGGACCTTGAATTCAGGATAAGGAGTTTGGATTTTATTTGGTAGGCAATAAAAAACAATTGAAGTATTCTGAGTAGGCATATGCAATCTAAAGATCTGTGTGTTAAGGACAATTAATTTAGCTGTGCTAGAAGGATGGATTGGAGGGGAAGAGTTTAGAGGGGTGCTATTGTAGTATTCCAAGTGGATGATAATATGGACCTGTATTAGCAGAAATAGAAATAAGGAATCAGAACTAAAAAAAGAAAATTGAACATGAGTGACTAAGTAAATGGTGTGAAATAGGGAAATCCAAAAATACTAATTGGGGAAGATACCATAAAACAGGTACTGAATACCTCTGGGGCTCATCTTAAGCAAATCATTCAATTTCTCTGGGTCTTAGTTTCCTCATCTGTAAAATGAAAAGTCTGAACTAAGTAGTTTCTATGATCACTTTCAGCTCTGTGAAGTCCTGTAGATTCTATCTTTTGGAATGTCTCCACATCTATCCCAATCCTTTCTATTCCAACTGCCACCATCCTAATTTAGAGTCTCATTTCCTCTCAGCAGGGATATTGCGAAAGCCTCTGAATTGGTCTCCTTGATTTCACTTTTCTTCCCCTCCATTTCACTCTATTCATCACTACAAGCACTCTTCATAGAGTGTAGCTCCAATTATATTAATTTTGAACTTTTAAAATCCCCAAGGCTTATCACAATGACTGACAAATAGTAAGTGTTTAATGAATATGTCAAATGCATGTTGAATGACTATTCTGTGCCAAATTAAGTCCAAATTCCTTAGCTTTGAATTTACATTCCCTTCACAATCTGGCTCTAATATACCTTCTTCTACCACTCCTTCTATCCAAACAGAACTATTCAATATTTCCCCAAAACATTTTGTATTTTCCCTCCTCCCTGCTTTTTATTCCCTCTACTTCTCTCAAGGAATGCCTCCTCTCAAAATAATAACTCATTTGCATGGTACTTTAAAATTCTCAAAGAAATTCCAAGTATATTTTCATTTGATCCTCAGAGCAAATGATAAGGAGTCTGAGTTTCAATGATCTTCAAGAGACTTATCCAGTGATTCACTGATCCCAGTGATCTACTGCTACTTCAAGCACCATCTTCAATGCCCCCTCTTTCATTAAGTCTCTCCTCATTCTACCTGTCCTCCATTAGGATTTGATCCATTCCTTCTCTGAATTCCTATAGTACTGATTTACCTCTCCAGTAATCCTTTCCTTCCATCATTATAACATCCTAAAGGGTTTAAGATTTACTCATTTTTGTAACCTGTAGCACCTAACACATGGTGTAAACACTCAAATATTTGTCATTAAAAAAAAAAATTCCACTAGAAACCTCCCACTGACAATCTTCCCCTTCATCTTGAGCCACAAACCTCACGTCACTACCACTTCATCCGCTACCAATGTGCCCACATAGCTTGGGCAGTTTCAGTACTTCTTGGACAATGTTGCAGTTTATGTAGCAGCCCATAAATGTGGGTCAAACGCAACTGCTATAGATACAATAATGCGGACGCAGGAATAAAGCCCGCAGATGCAAATCCGGTTAGGAGTGGAAACGAATTAGTCCATTCTTCCAGTTCTTCCCACAGTGCCTGGCACACAGTAGGTACTTAATAAATGCTATCTGACATTTCCATAGCTCCTGGGCTTCAACACTGACAGACCCTCACCCAATTCACCCCCCTCCTCTCTCGGATTCCTCCTCTTCAAGATGATTGGGGAACGTTTTTCAAAGCTGATCAAGTGCCAAATGAGTCCCCCACGGTGCAAGCAGCCCCAGAAACAAGCAATAGTCATATTTTGGCGGCTCCCCACATCCTCCCAAAGATCACCGTCCTCCCCCCCCCCAACCTCAGACAAGTTTCCTGGGAGGGACAACGGGACCCAGACCCCCTCCTCATCTTTCAGTTTGGCATCTTGGACGAGCCCCCCATAACCGGGGACTAGGGGCCTCTGCTCTCCCAATCTTCCCCAGCACTGACACGTTAAACCGCCCCGAACCCGACGCCTCAACCCTAACAAGCCTCCCAGGCCGGCCCCCACCCCACTCCAAGCCCCATCGCCGCCACCCCCCACCCCCACCCCCTTCCTCCCGTCCAATTGGGATCCTCACGGGCGCTTCCCGGATGAAGCCCCTCTCGGGGAGCGAACTGTCATTTCCCCCCCATCCACCCCCGGATAAGCCGCAGCCCGGATGGGGACCCCCCCCCCCAGGATAAGCCGCAGCCTGGATGGGGACCTTCCCACATACCCCGGATAAACTGCAGTCTGGACAGGGACCCCCCCACTTAACCCCGAATAGGCCGCAGGCTGGATGGGGACCCCCACCCCAATCCGCTGTCTCTGCCTGCCCCGGGGTAGGGGCTCTGCCCGGGCCTCGGACCTTCCTTGCCCTCCTCCGGGGGGCGCCCCCCCCCGGGTCCTCCCTCAGGCCGGGCCCCGGGGCTGCCGTTACCGAGGGGGAAGGAGAAGGCGGCGGCAGTGCGGCTGATGGTGGTGGCGACGGCGGAGCAGTAGCAGCAGCAGCAGCAGCAGGAGGCGGCGGTGCTGCCCAGTCTCCATGGAACTCCCGCCCCGGCCCGTTGCTAGGAGCCCCCGCGGCCCCGGCTCCGTCGCTCGCGCTTTGTTGTTCCGGGTCCGAAGCCGCAGCCGCTTCCCTGCGACAATAAACAGCACAAAACGCCGCGAATGGGGGGGTGGGGGTGGGGGTGGGGGTGGGGGTAGGGCATAGAGATCGCGCCGGGCCAGAGCGCCCCCAGAGAGGTCGGCTGCAGCGCCGCGCTAGGCAGTTATTTCCGGTTTCTACTTCTCCTCCCGCGGCCACCGCTTCCTCGGTCTCAGCGTCAGCCCCCGCAGGGAGAGGGAGGGGTAGACGGAGGAAGCACCCCAGCGAGGCCGGAGGGGGCGGAGCTCGAGGGAGCTCACCTTCCCTCGCACCACCCCCTACCCAGACACCCCAGAGGTGCAGTAGCGGGGAACACCGCCAGGCCAGGAGGAGGAAAAAAGCGCGGCCGCTGCGCTGGGCCCAGCGTAACTGGCACGACGCACAGAGCGCGAGCACTCACCGTGTGCGCCCCCCTAGTGAAAGGCTTTCTCCGCCGGGGGGAGGGTCTGGGGTCTGGGGCAAGCCGAAGGGGCGGGGCGGATGGCTGTCCGGGCTCTGTTAGGCTCCAGCCTCGCGCTCCCAGTCAGTGCAAAGGCCCTAGAGGTGACTGAGGCTTTACCGTAGCCCTGGGCTCGAAGCCGCCTTTTAAATGCTAGTAATGACCTTAAGGAACGCCTAGAAAGACCTTTGCTCCTTAAGGTACGGGTCGAGTGATTGGTTCCCAATTAATGGTGATTAATTGACGAGTCTGGTGTCATTTTTAAGAAAGCGGCCGTGCAGCAACTTGCTGGCTGCGGAGCCGAACCTTTCTTTTGGAGAGCCCGGGAGATAAGCGTCCTGCTTCCATGGAGAGGGATTCCCCCTCCCCCACCAAAAGATCGTCTAAATGTTGACCCTTCCTGGCAAATCAGTAAGACACAAAGTACCCAAGCTGTTTTGATTGGATTCCTGTCCATTTGCTACCCATCTGCGTTTAAAATGCTAAGCCATCTATCTCCTCCATATTCACGATGAGCATAGCGTTTACATCTTTTGATCCTGTGACTGGCTGGACAAATAATAGGGGCTCTATTGTTCTTTCTTAGCTCTAAAAAAAATTTTTCCCCTAGATTTTGGCTTGGATTCGAAAATGTTATTTATTTTCTCATTTTAATAATATCATTAATATGTGACCTCTTTTCAGTGGAGATTTTATTTCAAGATTTTAATAATAATATATTTATAGTCGTTTCAACTTCAACTTTTTGTATTTCAAGATTTGAATAATAATTTCATATGAGATTTGCCTGAGTTTTTTGAGTATCATTTCAGGCTACTTAAACAGTAGGTTGGTTTGAGATGATTATTCATTTTATTTCACCACTTAAATTTTCTTTATGAGCCACTGCTTTCATAATTTATTTATAATTATTATCATTAGCTCCATCTGACTTTTTTTGTCTCAGTCAGTGTCTAGGAGCCATATTAACCCTCAGTATCTTTCAAACCCTTTTTGAAAAGTCTTACAGATAATTAAAGGGCAAAGGGCTGTGGGTGGCTCTCTTTGTGTTTATTCCAAATCTATAGTTTGACATCTAAAAATCAAAGGGAAAAGTAACTTATTTCTCATTTATCAATAGATTTGAAGTTGGTTTTGATTAATCCCAGGAATAATAATTACACTAGTTAGCTAGTCCTTTAGGTCTCTTACTAGTAGGGCTGTGAACAATCTATGTCATATACAACTGAGGTCTCAACAAGAAATTGTGTTACCTGAGGAACATTTATTTAGGGATTGTAGAAGGCATTAAGTCCAACCCTCATTTTAAATATGAGAAAACCGAGGAAGGTTGTATTTTACCCACAGTCACATTACAGAGCTAGTAATTATCTGAGGCAGTATTCTTCCTAACTCCAAGTGCAATACTCTATCCATTACACTAATAATTAAGTAATAAAGAAATGTTATTTAAATTAAATAAAATCAAATTTTATAGGGTTTGGGGGTAGGTTAAAACTTGGAGCCAATATCATTCATGTATAGGAAGTACTGGGTTTAGGTTTAGCTAGTGTAATCTGATATTGTGACTGATACAAAGTATGAGTATGTCCTCTGTGTCAGTTATATTGCACATCAATTAATGTGCAATTTTCCGAAAGGAAGCAAAGAAAAATCAATGTAATATGATTCTAGAAATAGGGAGTAGAGGAAAACTTGGGTTCAAATTGCCCCTTTAACTAACTATTCTATCTGTGAGATTCTGGGGAAGCCACTTAACCTTTCTGGGCTCTCCTGAAACTCCCTAGGATTTATCTGCTAATTACCACTAGTCTCACTAATTACTGAAGAAAGTTGCCCACAAGGAAGAAATCAGTGATCCTTTTGGTATTCCAAATGATTGTAAGAGAAGTCCAGATATAGGAGAAAATAGTTGAAGTTTTGAACTAATGCTGAATTTATGGATTGAATGGTAATGGTAGACAAAATTGTTCTAGTCTGATAATCACAGAAACTTAGAGTTGAGGGGATATCCAAAGTCATTGAATCTGACCCTTCCCAAAACGTGAATTCCATCTACAACATTACAAGTGAAAAGAGTGAAATCGTTAATATAATGCTAAGGTTAGAGTCTGATACCTTATTATATCAATCACTTTAATACTTTAAGAGTCTGTGATTTCATCATTTATATGGATATGACTTCTATACATACCAACCATATCAATGTCTTAATATTTATGAGTTGCTGTAGGTAACAATTTGTCATCTGATGGCCTATTTTCTAGAGATAAGCCTCACCACATTCAACTGTTCTGGTCCTCACACAACAGACATACAGTGCATCACTAGACTCATAAAGCCTTTCTAGCTTAGTAGGATCTGCCATACCTTTTGTTCCAGTGGGTTAGCCTTTGAAAATCCAGTTTTTTCCAGACCACAAAGAGATCCAAGAGTATGACTTTGTTGGAGTGTGTTCGTAATAAGAAAAAGTCAGGAAATATGCCGGTCTTGATTAAATAATCCAAAAAAGAACCAATAGACAATTATCTTTTTTAGGATTCCATGTGGGAACTAGTAGAATGTGGTATAAACAGAGTAATATCACCTTCTACATACTGATTACCAAAAACACAGAGAAAACAGATTACCAAAATTATCAAAAATATGTCCATTGACAGTCTCGAGGACCATTCTCCCCTTCCCTCCCCACCCCTCCACCCTGTCAAGTCCTTCTCAGATGTTTCATGTAATGGAGGTGGACATGGATTCTTTAAGGCCACATCAGCAAGACTGCAAGCTCTAGATGAAGGTTCTACTAAGCTACAAAAACTTCAAATACAGTCTCAGCCAATGTCTCCATTTCCTGTTCAAGGACTAGTCTAGCTAAATAGAATGTAGAGGTTAATCAGTAGAGTATATATGCATTTTTGGCCATGGCATTTTATGTCAATTGATAGCAATTACTTAAATAGATTTAAAGATACAACTATTACAATGGAAAATACATGTAGTCAGGTAATATAAAAAAAGAAAAATTTACAGGAAAAGATACTTGTGTTTATTTTATTGAGTTGCTATTGTTTTAGTCTAATATTGCACAAATGTTTAACGCCAATATAGATTAATTTTAGCTTTGATTGGGGGTTATATTTCATTATAATTAAATAAATTGTGTATATGCTAGAGTTGACTTCAGTTAACCCAGAAAAGGATCTACTCTCATATACTGACTAAATTGGGAGGCCTGCTTAAACTATGTTACTTAATTCATGATTAGATAGAGACAGTATGGTACAGCAGAAAGCACATTGTACCAGGATTTGAGACCTGAGTATTAGTCACAGGGTTCATGGCCTTGGGCAAGTTATTTGACTTCTCTGAACCTCATTTTTTTTTTTCAAATGGAAGAAAATTAGAGAAGATGGTCTCTGAGAACTCTTTCAGACTGAATGTGCTATGACATATTATTTCAAATGAAATCTAAAGCATGTGGCAGTATAGACCAGTGCAAAGTTTCTCAAAGTCTTTAGTAATACCTGTCCAAGTAGATAGTATTTGAGGTTTCTGTGATATAATATAACCACTGAAAAATAAATCTATATGGAATAAGAAAAGGTTAAACTAAAATATAAGGTAGGAAAGAACAAGCATATTTATTAAGCAAGCACTGTGTACCAGGCACATTACACATTTTATCCCATTTGATCCTCAAAACAGCATTAGGAGGTAAGTGCTATTATTATCCTTGTTTTATACTTGAGGAGACTGAGACAGGCAAAGTTAAGTGACTTACCCAGGGCCACACAGCTTGTGTCTGCAGCCAGATTTGAATTCAGTTTTTCCTGATTTCAGGCCCATTGCTCCATCCACTATGCCTTTAGACCAGGGGTTTTTGATCTTTTTTGTGTTGTGGACATGGACCTCTTCTCAGAATGTTTTTAAATGCATGAAATAAAATATGTAGGATCACAAAGGAGACCAATTATATTGAAATAATGATTTCTGCCCCCCATCCAAGTTCATGGACCCCCAGAACTATATTCCCAGACACTTTTGGTTTCTATATACTTCATGATAAGAACTTTTTGCTTTAGGCAAAATAATTTTCTACTTTGAAACTTGTCAAGAAATTTCCAAGAGAATAGTGTCACAAAATACTAGAGAGGGAAAGGAATTTAGAAGTCACATAATCCAAATCCTTAATTTTAGGGTATATTTATAAGATTTATTTTTTGTTTATATTTATAATTTATAAGAGACTAAAAGAAGTTAAATAGGACACTGGATTTGGAATTCGGTATTCTTGGATCTTTCACATACGTCTCTCTGGACCTCGGTTTCTTCTTATGAAATACATGGTCAGGATTAGATGATCTCTAAATTCCCTTTTAGCACTAAATCCTATGATACCAAGTAACTTGTTCAAGGTCCAGTGAGTTAGTTGTAGAGCTGGTAATA